AAGGTGTCAACCTCAAGAGATGAAGCTGTCAACCTCAAGAGATGAAGCAAACCTCAAGAGATGAAGGTGTCAACCACTCTATGATAGATCGAATACTGTCAACGGGGCACACGAACGGCACCCTCTTAGACAGAGGGGCACAGATCCTGCAGTCGGACGAACGTCGTGAAGTGGTGAGGCAACCGGTGAAAGGGTACTGCCCTAGTGATCCACAAGAGCGATCACAGTGAGCTCAGTCCTGACCTCGTCTTCACAAGAGCGATCACCCATTTAACCCCTCTTGGAGCTGAGAGTCTGGCGCCAGACGTGCCAGCGGCACGACTGTGCTGCGCTTGTTCGCTCTTGGAGGCCATGCGGCTCTACCGCAGCACGCTGAGAGCCGCCAGCAAGTTCACGGTGCCCCGAATGGAGACGCGCCGTTCGCACGGCGTGACTGCTGATGCGAAGAGTTTGCCCCAAAGCGCACAGATTTGGAAGATGTGGCGATTTTTTGAGTTTTTGTTTGGACACTGGTGAAGGTACAGTGCCTCTCAATCTCCGTGTTGTATGTCTTTGTCCAATCTAATTTAGCAATCCCAGGTGACTGATTTTTCCTCAGTGTTGAAATCCATGAGCCAGGGGCTCGTCGACATCACCAGTGAGTCCACCATGATGGCTATGGCGGGTAGTCTTTTTTCTGTTTTTGGGTTGGGGCAGGGACCGCTTTTGAAGGCACCGTTGCCAAGGATTACAACTTCCGGCATTACTTTGCTCGCCGGGCCCGGGAGGATTTTCGCGCCTGGGAGCCCCAGTGGGGGGGCGGCCAGTGGGAGAGGTGAGCTCCACAGGGCTTCACATGTAGGAAGAGCGAGTAGAACCAATGCCCAACCAAACCCTATCGGGAGCAAGAATGTACATGCTGAACAGAGTTTCCTCAATACACGTGGCAATACTTCGGGCCATTGCGTTGTGAGTCGTGAAGAGATGAATTAAACCTCACCATCTTCCAGCTGCAGATGCTTGTCCCAAACCAACCTAGCGTGACCACCGTTGGGGCGGTGCTTTTCATTCACGGCCCAAAAAATGGGCGGTCCGGACAAACCGAATGATTCGGACTCGGGTCCGTTGTTCCAGCGAACGGCTGAGGCCTTCTATGATGGTCCGGGTCCTCGGTTTGGACTCCATGACTCCAATAGAGAAGCTGAAAACAGACACGGAAGGAGACTCCATGATGTGTTGTCGCCGGAGTATTTTTTTGGGGGGGCACTATGTGCTTGGGCAAATCGGATTTGAGTCGATTTGTCAGCGTTTTTGTTTGCAGCTGGAACATCCTGGAACTGTCAGGCCTATTGGATTCTTGAACACAGACGGTCACACGCATCGGCCTACGTGGTCTCCATTTCTCGTAGGGGTCGGACGCGTGATGAGCCATGTATGGTTCCGGGTTGGTGGTGTCAAGGGTCGTATAGGAAGACTTGATGTCGCTAGATTCACTCATCCCGCCCAGTAGCGTAGGGGTATCCAGGATTCATGATTCTTCTAAATTGCAATGTGCACGGCAAGTGCATGCACGAATCCACCCAGGTCACACTAGTGTGTGAAATTGATGGAGCTGTAAGCGCATGGGGCAGTTCGCCTGAGCAATCTTGTTTGTACCTCTAGATTCTGTGGATTTTGACCTCGTGGTCCCTCGATTTGAAAGCCAAGACCTGGTGTTTCCTCGAATTGGATGGCTGACAAGTGGGAGTTACTCGATGTTTGTACTGCATCACCCGCAAATCCGCCCACATGTCGTTCACGGAGAACCCGCCACACAGGTCGTTTTTGGCCGCCAACCCCGGCGTTTTGGCCCAGAAAAGCGCCCCATGGTTCGCTCCTGTCAGGCAAGCCTGATGATGCCAGTCGGCAGGCAGGATGGTGAACAAAGGGTGGTTGGATGGTCTTAGGGTTTGATGATGTTTGATGAGTTTGTTCTTTTTCGGCAGAGAGTTACTCCTTTTCGAAGAAGTCCATTGGAGAATATATATTCTGGGCAGATGTTACTTCTCATCAGTGACCGGTCAGGGATCTTGGTTTGGTCTTGCTCTTGATTGTTCAAGCGGCGCGAACGTGTTTGCCTGTGGGGTTCTTCATCTGAATCAGCAATACGGCTGGTTACATCCCAAATGCAAGGGACCAAGGGCGATCTCACTCCATCATACCGAGTGTCTCCAGAAATCCCGGTCCATTGGATTGTTGCTTCCACATCCTCACATGCATGTTGAATGTTCACCTGCTTGAGTCTTCAAGGGTGACTACAACTAGTTTCAATTAGTTTCATGGAGCTGGGATGAAAAGGAATCTCCGGCTAATTCTTGTGAATGAGCAACCGCACAGGCCGCTCGCCGTTCCCTTGAGGATGGGATTTGGGCCATGTTGATTTCTTGGAAGAGATGCAGTCGTTGTGCAGAAACGTCTTCCCACAGTTTCTCGAGATGTTGGACAAGGACGATGTTTGGCAACCAAGGAACCATAGGAACCAAGTCATGCAAGGTGCCAGTTTGGAGACCGACTGCACAGAAGACTACAAGGCCTAAGAGAAAGAGAACAGGTTAATTTACTGTACTACTGTACTACTCTCCTGATTCACATGAATGCTGAAAACCACTGGGTAGATGAGACTGTAGTCCTACAGGGTTCCATGTTCACGGTCCATGTGAGTTTGCCAGTCTGCCGAAACCTTCCCCACCCAACAGTGGAGTGCCAAGTGACTGTTCCGGGTAGAAGGCTCTGGATCGCACCAGCTCCTTTCATCCTGCAGAGGTCGAGACTGTGGGGTCGTTGATTCAGTCGGTCGTCGGTGGGATCTTTGGGATTTGGGCGGCTTCGACCCAGCCGAACTTGAAAGAGAAGCTACCCAGACACTCTCAGGACGCCCTAGAGTCTAGGTAGAGCAATCAATCGCCTGTGAGGCCTTTTTGGCGAAGGCGAAGGAGAACTTAGAGATGTTGGAGAGACAAAGCATGGTGAGTCAAATGTGGGGCAGCCTGGACAGCGACGCTGGCAGCGTGAAGTTGTTGGTGCCTTGTTTCGGACATCGCATGTTAATGCTCACAGCCTCACCTTTGACGTGTCTTGATCTCCACTTTGAAAGAGCACTGGGCCACTGAGGCCAACGCTGTAGGGTGTCGAGTTGCTTTACGATCAGGACTCTGTAGACTCTGTAGACATACAGGATTGGAGCGTTTAAATCTGATCAACTCTGCTGGGTTTCCTCACCCTGCACCGGACCCGGAAGAGCCGGACCGGACCGATTCAGAACGGCTTCAGCACATTACTTCCCTGAGGTACCGGGTCACATCTCCGATCACTCGAAGATGAGGCGGGAGAAGCTGGGTGCTTGGCTGGCGCGCCCATTGGTGTCCCGGTCATGGCCTAAACGAACCGGAGAAATCAGCTATCAGATTTGATGACCCCCTTATGCTGACATGAGCGCCAAATCCCTTTCAGTGGACAGTCCACACACACGCACATCAACATGTCAATAATGTTTCATTAATGCTCCAGCTCAAGCCGAAAGAGTAACGCGTTTCGTGGGGTGAGAGGAGCTGAGGTGCTTGGGCCGGAGATATTTTGGAGGAGAGATTAATTAGGTAAGTAAGCACTGGAGCACTGTTGGTGTTGGTTCTTTTGTTGCCCTTCAGCAAATTTATGAGGTTGTCCACCGAAGTCATGATTTGATTTTGTTGCAAAAGGGCGTCAGGTGCAGAGCTTGCAAAAGGCAGGGAACACCAATCAAATCCTCTGCAAAATTGCATGGAGAAGATCGTGTACAGGTGGAAGGTAGGTTCAGGTAGCTTACTAAAGCTGTCTTTTGGATCAAACAAAATATGTTTCACCAGCAACAATTGACATGGCATAAAGGTTAATTAAGGGACCACCCAAGGTAAGGTGAGGGACCTTGCCGAGTGGAGCTGTCAACGTTGAGGTTTCGTGTTGACATATTGATTGGTTTGAACAGCCGCACCAACGAAACAATGATGTTTTCCCAGTGTTCCAGAGACCCCAAAACTGGAGCAGGTCTTTACAGGTATATATAATAACAAAGGAATCTCCTCCCAAAGATGTGCATTTTCATCTTGTGCATTTTGAGGTTTAGACGCCCTCCTTTGGTGAAGAATCCGCTCTGTTCTGAGCCGACAGGGGCCTGAGAACGCACTCGTCCGCAAAGTCGCGGATGGTTTAGGACGTGGCTCAAGCCTGAAACACTCAAAGTCGTAAAGAAATCCAAAAATGAATTATTATAGTTATATATATTTGAATTATAATATATATTTGAATTATATACCCCCAGATTTGTTGCTAAATAAAATTAACGAAATTGATATTCATTTCATGAAGACCCTTAAGGCATTTAGAAGTAAAACTTACACTACCGTAAATCCTAAATAATTTATGTGGTTTTAAAATCGGAACACTTTGTAAATAGAAATGCGACGTTTAGAATTGGGAAATAAAGAATTGCAAGGTAGAGGCGGACATAGGAGTTTAGTATAAACACAGGGAAATAAATGTAAAGGATTGCAAGCGATATGTAGCTTAGAGCTGGGACATATACTTAGTTACGAAAGGTAGCTTGGTTGTTTTGCGAAGCAAAGGAATTGGCTTGAGAGTTTGCTCGGGACTAAAAATTGGTAGATTAATGTTTAATACCCCTATCTCCTCTTCTCCTCCCATGTAATGAATAATTGATAAATTTATTGATTCGATTCTCCCCCCTTTTCTTTCTTCGTTTCCTCCTCTCGTCGCTAGCACTATTAAATTCTAGACATAAGGCGAAATTATGCGTTTAATAATCACAACAATACGACACTGGCCATGAGATTGCGCAATACAACACGAATCCTGCGCAATGCAGCTTCGATGTCGCGCGTAAGTACCTGGTAGCCTGACACAACGCATATTGCGTTCATAGACCATATTGCTCGACAGTAGCGAACATCGATGCAACATAACCTCTTTGTAAAACCCTGTGGAGAAACCCCTCGCGTCGCGGATTACCATTCGACTTAACCTTATACCTTAACGTGGCAAATTTTTACCGCATCGTGGAACACGCCCACCATATCGTAACGCCTATCCCTGGCAGTACCGGCCGCATCCCTCTAGCACTATCCTTACAAGGGGGTTGGTCATTGAGTCATTGCGGCTTCGACGGAATGCGTGCAGGCCTATAATCCTGACACCGTGCGTGCAACTGTGGGACCATAGTTGGCACCGATACGAGCGTTTACGCATTGCGATTTTTACGCGCACCTGTTTTCACCTACCTGGACACAAACGAGCGTCGACGCAACGCAGCCTCTCTATAGAGCCGTGTGGCGCAATCTGGCCGCAACAGAATTCTTTTTGAGCCTTCTTATGCCCTCTGGCTTTATTGGTTTCATCCATGATTGACCAAGGGGCACGTTCCTGAAACACCGGAGACAGTCCCTTATTAGAAAAGGTCCCGACAGCTACTGGGTCCGTCTCTACCTTTCGTGTTTCCCCGCTCAAGTGATGTTTGTTGGTTCATTTGATGGATTCTTTAGTGATGACGGAGGTATTTGTATCTTGGGAGATAGAATTTTTCCCGAGAGCGTTTGCGAAGGATTTTTCGTACAAAGAATTCTATAGAATTATTCCTCATTTATATCTTTAATAGAATTATACCTTATTTATATTTTTACCTCGAACTCTACACAATTATATTCTCACCTATATCTCTGTTTATAACGATCTCCGCAGAGGGTTGCCCGCGCCAAATCCAAAATGCACGATCTCCGCAGAGGGTTGCCAGCGCCAAACCCAAAACGCGCTCTCGCGTGCATTTCGCGCATTCGACACGCACGATCTCCACGGAGGGTTGCGCCGGATCGGACCACAACGCCCTCTCGCCTGCATTTCGCGCCCTCGACGCGCACGATCTCCGCAAAGAATTGCCCGCGCCAAATCCAAAATGCATTTTCGCCTGCATTTCGCGCGTTCGACACGTACGATCTCCGCAGAGGGTTGCGCCGGACACAACCAAATCGCATTCCCGCCTACAATTCGCGCATTCGACACACACGATCTCCGCAGAGGGTTACGTTTCGTGGCGGTCCGGCGGCACTGCCCCCGGCCTTAAAAGAGAAAGTTAAGAAAAGCGAGAAGTAAAGATGTGAGATGTAAATGACAGGTAAAGATGGGAAATATAAATGGGAGGATGTAAAGATGAGTAGACATATAGATGTGAGGATGTAAAGATGAACAGAGATATAATTGTGCAGATAGGAATGTAGATGTGAAGGCGAAGGCACGATTTGTCTTGTACGCGGGCAATCCTCCGCAGAGATCGTGTGTATCGAATGCGCGAAATGCAGAGGACAGGGCGATGATGCCCATTTGCGCACGTATGTGGGGAGCTGGAAGATGAGAGCTGGCGACTTGCTAGTTGTAAGATGAGAATTGGTAACTTGCGAATAGAATTTTAGTATGCAGAATATCTGGGGAACTGGAAGATAAAATTTAATGCCTTTATAATAAATCTTTTGTGCGCGGAATACCTGGGGAATTGGAAGTTGAGAATTGGGGACTTGGCAGTACAACTTTAGTATACGGAGTATCTGGGGAGTTGGAAGCTGAGCACCGGCGACGTTATAGTAAAACTTTAGTGCGCGGAATTGGCGATTTTCTAGTATAATTGCAGCATGCGGAATCTATGGGGATCTGGAAGATGAGAATTGACGATTTTGTAGTACAATTTTAATACGCGGAGCAAGTTGTGGAGTTGGAAGCTGAGAATTGGCGACTTTATAGTACAACTTTAATACGTGGATGAATCATCTTTCGCGATTGAATCATCTCTTACGGCTGCTCTGGCGCCCCTGCAGCTGAATCATGTCTCCCGACTACCCGATTCTTTTGAGAGCTTAAGAAAGTTTAGCCACTTTGTTTACTCATAAGTGATTATTACAAAAGAATCATCGTAACATTAGTATGTGTATATTTCACCTTCATGACAAATAATGTTCGTTTAGAATACACGAATCGCTTGTCATAATCGTAACGTCGTTTACTCTCAAGTCGCCCTAATCGTAGAAATTTCAGTATGAAACGAACGTTCTCCAATTTAAATCTCTTCAACATTGCATTTGCACAACTAAGGTTGACGTTACCGTTGCATCGATGCATCTATATTTACGTCCCTTTACCTCTTTATATTTCCATCTTCATACGCTCACATCCGCAAATCTACCTCTCCACTTCACCGCGCCCATACATCTACACATCTATATTACATCTATGCATCCACATTGTCGTTCCTTCATATCTATTTTATCTTTCTTTCTATATATCTTTTCTTTCGTCTCTATGTATTTATATCTTCGCATATTCCCATCCATAAATCTACCTCCATATATCTACAAATCTATATCGCACCTACACATCCACACTATCACTCCTTCACATCCATTTTCTCTTTCTATACATCTTTTCACAAATGCTAGACAATTACATATCTCGCTTTCGAGCCAACCTCCGTCTAGTTAGTAAAGATCTTCTTAGAAATGGTATAAAAGATTTAATGCAACAATAATTAGAATTAAATCCATTGTTTTATTCTTCGATTTACCATTCCTTTTCATTTATAATCATATCCATATCATTCTCAAAAAAACATAATCCTATTACCCATAAATATCCATATAACCCTTATACCAATTCTAAGAAATTATCATTATTCTATTATAAATATTAATATCGAATTTCTTACAATAAAAATTATTCTCCAAACATCGCATCATTACAATACATATCATCATCCATTTCGTAGATAAAAATATATCATAAATTCTTCATATTATCAATATAATATTCGTATTTTATCAATTCCTAAAAAGAAAAAATATTCCGTCGATTATCGCTAACCCATCAATTCCCAATTTGTTTAGAAATCAAAAAATACATCTAATCAATTATATATCCAATCGCAATCCCAAAAACCTCAATTATAATAATCTCCTCCTTTACCAAAATTTATATCACAAATTCATATTCCCACCACATCGCCTCCATAACCGACAATATTTCTAAATACAATAAATGTAAACAAAACATTTTTTTTTCAACATAATTTCGCTACTATATTATAACTAATTTCATAACATTTTTATGTCGATTATATTTAATTCAATATATTTAAAAAGAAATGCAATATTTATTATAAATCAATTATTTATATTATCATTTATATTTATATAATATACATATTTCATAATGATTCGATTCATTTTATATTGATTTATTATATATATATATTATTTTTGATTTAAACATATTGATTTAGGCATTGTCAACATTGATTCATCCCAATGATATCAAGATCGACATGATTATATATATGTATATAATATATATATATATATCATTGGGATGATCGTATCCTACCCGCACAACATTGTTTGACTGCAATCAGTCCAGCCAGTCGACATCGTACATTTCGGATGACACACCAAAGACTCACTGGCCTCGATGGTGCTGGGGCTGGCTCCTTGGGAGAGATCTTTGGACAGCCAAATCGAACACCTTGTGCAAGACTTCTTATATAAAATTTCGTTGACCTAGTCTGATTCTCGCCCAAAGTGAGTGAAACTGCGATGGCATACTTTGGCGCTTCAGGACCATTTCGCAGAGGTTCTCTAATCTCATTCTGTCAAACCAGCCAACCTCTTCGACCTGTGTCTTCCAGGAATGGCACAGAGTTCATCTAAGTACAACACCACCAATTCCCAGGGTGATGTCGTAGGTGGAAGGACGCCAAATCCTGCGCTGGCATGGGTGATCCTCCAGAAGTTTTACCACGTGAGAGCTTTGTTTGTGAGCTCACCTCTAAAGAAAAAACACGATATCTCGGAACGCAAGCCGACGAACTGCGTGGATCCATCACAAATAATAAACATATCCTGGTAGGATGGACAAAAACATGCAACAATATGCAACAAAATTGAACAACACCAAACAATTTGCCAGAACAAAACATAACAAAACAAAAGATTCCAGACTTCAAGAAAGGACACTTGAGTAGCTACCCCAGCAATGTTTTCTCCTCTGATCGAAAGGGTCCCAGCGCAGTGTCGCAGCTTCGCGAATTAGAAAAAGGAACTCCTCTTGAGAGTCAGTTTGGAGTCGTAGTCTCCGTGTGTTTGGACCCGTCAGAGAAGGCCGGAGGATTGCAATCTGGTCTGACTCAGATACTTTTTGACCAAGAAGGGGTTCACCGAACTTTCCGCCGGTTTTCATGTTCAGATATGTTACTGTATATGTTTAGACCAGGAGTCACA